AATGTTGGAGAATCAAGAATGGTTTGTAGGCTTGTCACAAAATAAAAATGCTTAGAACTCATCAGAGGACCACTAAAAAACCAATGTTTCTAACATTCCATTATGCCCCTTTTCTATGAAAAAAAGGGAGTGATTCTGATTAGTCAGAGTGGTTTTTTTATATATAGTAATACATATAATGATCTCTAAAGTGTGGGAGAAAAGGGCAGATATCTTGCAAAGAGTATTCTTGGCAATTTTCAAGCATAGATTATGCACCCCCAAAACTGCAACCCACTAAATGCAGAGGTTGTCAGAGCAGGGAGGTTGAAGTCCTCATAAAAGGGGCAGGATTCCAAAAATCACCACTACCCAGAGCAAAGTGCTTATTAGTGTTATTGTGTTCACGTGGTTGGAAAATTTTCTGTTATGTTTATTATTAAACCACTGTTGGATATAAAGACTGCGACAATCTGCAAGTGAGTAATGGCACAGAAGGCAGGAAGCTGGGTTCCTACATGCCATGCCATTGTTAAATCACCAGGCTTCTGCTCTCCAGAAAACACTTCTAAAAAATAGGTGTGGACCGGGGTGGAGGATGAACCCAGGACCAGAAAACGAACTAAGGAGGAGGATGGGGGAACAGAAGAGAAAGGGAACAGTGTGTTCAAGAAGCAGACGGGGAACCATGCCTCATTTGTCTGTTGCAAATGAAGTGTTCACCAATATTTTATTTTTCATACATCTAGATTAGCTTTAAGTGTCTGGGCTGGAATCTATTTTCTAGGGGACATATTTTCTTTTCCTATACGTTGACCTTCAAATGATCAAGGTGGGAAAACAACAATGAGAAAGATAAAATATTTTTCTTCTTAATTTTGGGAATAATTTAAGGACTCAGAATGTCAACCTTGCAAGTATGTTTGAGACAATCCCCACACACTCAGGCTAATTAGATTTAATGGTGCCAGGTGTATGTTCAGTGGTAAAGTAAATATTTCCCAAATGCTGCCTTCATGGAAGCAAGTAACCAGAGTATCTCCTCTACTGTGCAATGTACTCTGGCCAGAAGCTTGGAGCCAAATGAGGTCTGCCAGATGAAATGGAAGGTCACTGCTGTTACAGCAGTGAACACTTCACATCTGGTCTCTTGAAATGAAGAGAAGAGAAATCAGCCCCCACTTGCTCACCCAGAAATTATGTCTCTTCCAGGAACCCTTTCATTGCATTTTTGGTTAAAGCCATGTGACATACCTAAGAAACATTTTAGCAGCAATATTCAAAAACACCCTTTAAGCTAGTCTAGTGACAAAATGGACCTGTGGAAGTCACTGTTTTGAGAATGCTTACCTCTTTAGAGGATTTTGATCATAAGGTTTTTGTTTTGTTTTTTAATACCATCCTGGTACTAAAATATAATAATCCTAAAATGCATATCAGTCCTTATATCTGGGCTGTATTTTTATTTTAAACCATCACCAGGAAACTACACCCTAAACAAATTAATTGGTAAAAATGGTCAGTCAAGTGTTGTTCCTCTATAATCAAACGCCTAGTGTAGGTGGGAGGAAGTCCTAAAATGTCACTACGAGGCAGTTTAAAATCCTGCCATTCCCCAGTTTGCTCCAGGGAAGCGCTTGAGATAGAGGACAGCCTGGAGGCCCTCACTCTAAAGAACAAAGGACAAATACAGTCAATACATCCCATAATGCTTACATTTCCTTTGCCTTTTCCCCTTGGTTTTTCCTGGGAAGGGCTGACCTGGGCAAAGCACCCTGCTCTCTAAAAGACACTGTATAGACCTTTTAGAAGCGCAAAGTCCAAGGCTGAGGTGAACTTCAGGTCAGCGCGTCTAACAAATATGAAAATGTCGGCTGGTGAGGGCGCGCCTGTGACTTAACAAAGACTGTCAATGTGTAAGATTAATAAGAAACAAAATGCACACGGTGTCACTGTTCGGTCACTTTGAAACTTGGGACAGGGTTGCATTCAAGTGGGAAGGCTGTTCCAAATATATTCAAAATGATTCAAATCAGATTCAAACCAAGCTGCAAACACTGCCTCCTCCTAGTCCCCCCTCTCCCTCAGACTCCCTTCCACTCGCCTCCTCCATCTGGGATTCGAGGACATGATGAAAAGTTATTTCACTTAATGGGATTTTAAGAAAGCTTTTGGGGGAATGTGTGTTATCCCTGCACATGGAAATGAGCAAATGTGCTTACCAGTTTCCCAAGGACAAGGTAGCTTCAGCCCCGCTTGGGACTACAGCCAGTTGGTGTGCGAAGATTAGCACGCTCCCTCTCTGCTCCATTCCAGGGCACCCCATCTTTTCCCCCCCAGGCAAGATGCTGCTGGTAAACTTTGGTTTGTTTTCTCTAATTGAGTTAGTTTCTTCCTAGCTCTTCTTTGGTGTCTTGGATAGTATGTAAAGGCAAGAGGTGCTTTTTAATGTTTTTCAAAAGATGATTCGCTTCAATGGGATTATGCTATGGCTTGCTTGCAGAGGGAGGCTGTGGAAGGTTCAGGAAAGGTACTGAGACTGTTTATTACAGCCATAAATCTTGCAGTAAAATGTCAAAATGTCGGTGTGTGAGATAACACTTGGTGGTCCTGGCTCCGTTTGTGTTTATGATAGAAGCGCAAAGACAAGTTACAGGCCTTGAGGGACTCTGGGTAAGCCCATCTTCCTCAAGTAATAGAACCTCCGGAAACAGGCACAGTTAACTCACCCAGCTTAACCATATACAAAACAGTGCCAGTGTCTCCTTAATACTTAAAAGTAGAGACTCTGTAGACAATCCTGAGGCTAAACAACATGAATTCTGTGTCTCGGTGCCTGTAAATAATATTAAACAGACATGGTTAGGACTTGTGTGCTCAAGCTTGGCGACACCAGGAACAGGCGAGATTCCCTCATCATGCTTTTTTCTGTAACCTGAAACACAGCCAGATGTGTGAAACACACACACATATTTGTATATATAGTCTATATGTGTGCTACTCATGTTAGATAATTGATGTATATATTCTCTTGCTAGAGAGGGCAGCCACATCACAGGCTAGATTTCCTCCCTCCAGTCTAGAGAGGATATCTAAAGATTATAATCAGTGTTGATTTCTGTCTGCGGCTCAGATTTCATTAAAAAAAAAAATTCAGGGTGACTCATGTCAGTGGACAGCTCTCTCTGGGCACACGCACCCAGTGTGGAGAAGCTCTTTGTACCACTTCAGGACGACTCCAGCCTGAAACTAACATGATCCTTTCTTTAACCTCTTTTTCTAAATTAGTTTAAAGATTAGCCTCATATAATAGTCTTTATGTGGCTAAGCATTAAATGACTATCCATCAAATGGATATATCCCAGCATTTAGTAGCCCAAATGAGTAACCGATATAAATGAAGAGAGAACTGACATTCTTTTTGAAGTGTCTCCAGGCTTGGGTTATAACTTTCCTTGTCTTCGAGACTCAGTTGTGAGAAGGTTGCTGGTTTATCCTGCTGTCTGAAAAATCAGCTAGGTGCACCAACTCAACTATCTTTGCTTTGTATGCCAACATGAGTTATTTCTAGACTGGTGACATGCCAGTTTACACTGTTTTACTATCATGCAAAGGGGATCTAGGCGGCTGTGGTATTCAGAAGACAGGAAAGAGGACGGACACAGTACGAATGGAGCATCAGTATTTACTTCAAAGACCAACACTAGGTGGAATTAATAAGTAATTTATTTGTTAATAATGGCATAATTAGTTTACCCATCAAATTTCAATTACCAAATGGCAGACAACAGTCCCCTCTCTCTCCTTTCCGGAGCTACTGATATCGTTAATATGCTAATTTTCAGCAATTCAGGGATTACAGGCTGTCCTGTAAATATAGCCCTCGCCACTGATACAGCCTGAGAAAACAGCATCCAAATGGAGGAGGAGGGAAAAAAGGTTAGAAAAGATCGGTGGACGATCAGACCCGCAAGGGTCTTATTCTAGCTCAAGCTTGTTTTTGTTTGGAGTTTGTTCTGTAATGCGAAGTTACTGGATTCAAGCCGGGTTTTGTGCATTCCCATTCTCGGGTGGAGGTTTCACAACAGCGCCTGGTAAAAGAGGCATGTTTAGCTCTCTTGTCTGCCCCTCCATCAAGTGCAATATGGGAAGGTTCCAAATCGTAAACGAAATGCTGTATCAATTCTGCCTCTGGGGGAAAAAAAGAAAGAAAAAAATTAAGTATCCATGAGGTTTTACTGGAACGCCCTCGCTGTATATCCTTGACTGGATTGTTCAGCGGCCCATTCCACCCACCCTTCCTGTGCGGCTCCAGGCCGGCTTCGCAAAGCAGGGACCCCCCAGCAGCTGGGTGGATGTGCAGGGTGTTGGTAAAGAATCAATGGGCGAGAAAAATGGGTCTGTAGGCCTCCTTCGTTTTGTTCCAGAGTTAGGATAAAAAGCCAGGGTCTGCCTCTTGGTCCCAGTGTCCTTCCCTCTCCTGGAAGGCCTCGAACCCCTGGAGGATCACCCGAGGCCTGGATGGACAGGAAGTCAGCGCTGAGCCCTGGAGACCAGCTGCCCCAAGGCCTAGGACAGACTTGGGCAGGAAGAGGGCTCGAAAGGACCCAGAGCCTAACAGGCACCGATTTCTCAGCCGGAATCCAAGTTGGGGGGCCGAGGAACCCAAGCCCCTGCTCGCTCCTCCCGCCCGCCCGGGCGGATAGCGGCATCCATCACGCCCCCGCGCGTTTCCTGATCCGGGTCCGCGCGCGCGGATCGCCCATTGGCCGGGTCGCGGCACGTGGGGCGCGGGGCGGGGCGCGCAGGGCTGCGGGGAGCGCGCGGGGGCGGGGGAGGAGCGGCGCGAACTTCGGCGGGGACGGCGGGAGGGGGGAAGGGCAGGCGTTTGACAGCGGGGGGAGGGGCGGGCGCCGGGGGTGGGGGGGGGATGGGAAGCGCGGCGAGAGGGGGAGGGGCCTCGGCGAGCGCAGAAAAACGACACCGCGAGAAAAATTAGTATTTTTGCACTTCACAAATTAATGACCATGAGCTCGTTTTTGATAAACTCCAACTACATCGAGCCCAAGTTCCCTCCCTTCGAGGAGTTCGCGCCGCACGGCGGCCCGGGCGGTGGGGACGGCGGCGCGGGCGGGGGTCCCGGCTTCCCGCGGCCCCAGACCACCCCGCACCTGCCGGCCCCGAACCTGCACGCCGCCCGCCAGCCCCCAGCCTACTACGCGCCGCGGGCGCGCGAGTCCAGCTACCCCGGGGGCCTGTACCCCGCGCCCGCCTCCGCCTGCCCCTACGCCTGCCGCGGCGCCAGCCCCGCGCGACCCGAGCCGTCCCCGGCCCCCGGCGCGCACCCCAGCCCGGCCCCGCAGCCCCCCGCGCCCCCTCGGCACTGCGCTCCAGGCCCCGCCACCCCGGCTGTCGCGACGGGGGGCAGCGCCCCCGCGTGCCCGCTGCTGCTGGCGGACCAGGGGCCGGCGGGCCCGAAGGGCAAGGAGCCCGTGGTGTACCCCTGGATGAAGAAGATCCACGTGAGCGCCGGTATGTGGCGCCGCCGGGAGGGCAGCGGGCGCGGGGGCGCGGGGCAGGGCGCGGGAGGGGACCCCCCATCTGGCCCGCGCTATGGCTGTGGGTGTGTGCGCGCTGCCCTAAGCCTGGTCCCAACGTGAGAACCCTTTTGTACCCAGGGTCCCTTTATCCCAAGATTTACGAGACGCCAAACTGTTAGGGCAGTAATTATAGCCCCCATAAATTTAATTGCCCTGGCAGAGGCTCCGGGCCATGTGTCTTTGAAGCTTTTCTTCAGCCCCAATGCCCAGCACCATTCTTTATGGCTCTCGGGTGTTTCCCGTTGTCAATAGCCTGTGAAACATTTTCTTTGCCGTTTTATGTATCTTGCGTGAACTTGGTGTCAGGTTATTATATAATGATGATGTCCAATTGCTCTTCCCCACCCTATCTCCTCTCTCCTCCTCTCCTTCTCTTCCACTCCCTCCTCCTTGGCCTTCTCTATCGGGGTTCTGGCGTTCAGTCAACCCCAGTTATAACGGAGGCGAGCCCAAGCGCTCTCGAACTGCCTATACCCGGCAGCAGGTCTTGGAGCTGGAGAAGGAATTCCACTTTAACCGCTACCTGACCCGGCGGCGCCGCATCGAGATCGCCCACACGCTCTGCCTGTCTGAGCGCCAGGTCAAGATCTGGTTCCAGAATCGGAGAATGAAGTGGAAGAAAGACCACAAACTTCCCAACACCAAGATGCGATCTTCCACCCCTGCCTCGGCCCCTGCCGGCCCTCCTGGAAAAGCACAAACTCACAGCCCCCACCCCCATCCCCACCCTCTACCTAGTGCCTCCACACCCATTCCCTCCTCCATATAACCATCTGGGGACCTAAATCAGTTTCTGTCACTCACCTGCCCTTCTCCTCTCCTGCCCCTGTCCTCATCCACTCCTCCCCAAGGAAACCATAACAGACACCAAAACAAAATTCAACTTGGTGGAAACCATAACCAAAAAGAAGACATTATCCCCGGTAAGTGTCTGTGCGATCCCCAAGAGGACATCTGTCCTGGACACTGCCTAGTGGAACAACCTGCTGACCTGGACAACCTTGCCAGGGCTGGATACCTGTGAGGAAGCACTCGTCATCAGATACCTTTGAGTCAGCTGGACAGCGTGCTGACTGGGGACATGTACTTGTGTCTTTGTTACAAGCAGAAGAAACAGGCCCTTCCTTTCCCAGCTCCTTACCTTCCTCTTCTACATTAAGGCAGCTCACGCGAGCTTTACTGAGTAGACATTGTGGACCTCACCAGATTATTTAATTCTCAAAAATGTGTAGACCTTAATGGTAGGTGTGGCATGTAGTTTCCTCTCCTTGCATTTATTTAAGATATTGTTATAGAGATTTTGTTGTCTTACTTTCGGGCACAATCTTGGGGGAGAGGGAAATGCATTTAGACCCACTTGCAACTGTACAAAGTGATATGACTGTGTAAAAAGGAAAGTGCTAAGAATAAACATTTTAAAAAACATTAAAAACCTAAGAGACAGATTTGTGTGTATTTCAAGCTTTACACACACACACACACACACACACACACACACACACACACACCAAAACAACAAAAATCAACTCCTCTTGGTGGAGATATTTGACCTTGTGTGCAGAAGCCTTGTAGACAGTGTGAGCTGGGGTCACATTCTTAGTACTCCCAGAATTTGTGCCTCTGTATGTGTGTGTATATGTGTGTGTTCAACTTGATCTGAATTCTTGTCAAGCTTGACCCACTGTGGAAATGTTCCAAAAAGCAGAATGCTCTTGAGTCCTGAGAGGGCTCCTCTTCTTTCCAAACTTGGCCAGGCTTTTAGGCTTCAAGTCTCTGTAAGGCATAGAAACGTTTCTGTCCCCGCAGTGAAAGTTGAAACCGTGCAGAGCAGAGGCCCAGGAGTCCCTGCCTCTCCTCCGCAGGCTGAACTCTGAGCACACTTGGAGAAAGGCGGCCCTTGGCATCTGTTGCCCCTTCACACTTAATCTGCCTGTTTCCCTGGAGATAAAAAATAGTTTATGCAGAGGCTTGAGATTGCTTTTTGGTTTTTGGCTGGTCTTAAGGTCTTCTTGCTGAGCACAGCTTGGGAATTTTTGTTTGCTTCTCTAAGAAGGGCTTTTAGAGTAAAGTGGACTTTCCCACCACACGCTCCAAAGTATCCTCTGAGGAAATAAGAAGTGGAATGACACCCCAAAACAACCTAAGCAAGGTAGATTTGGAAGAGCTCCCTGTTGGAAGAAAGCCAAACCCTGATTAGGGTCACTTTCCTCAGTGCCCTGGGGGTGTGTCTGTGCACTCTCTGAGTTCCAGATCTCAAGGGTGAAAAAAACACTGAAAACTCACCTCTCAACCTCTGTAACCCTGGTATTTGTTCATTGGTTGAAATTTGGTACTCAGACAGCTCTCTCTCTCTCTCTCTCTCTCTCTCTCTCTCTCTCTCTCTCTCTCTCTCTCTCTCTCTCACACACACACACACACACACACACACACACACACACACACACACTGCACAGAATATTAGAACTGCCTGCCACCTGGCCTTGGAACAGCAGTTTTGGAGGTTTGTAGTATCTGTAGGAGAGGGAAGGGATTTTCACCTACTTCTGTAACAGGAGATTTAAAGCCATTTCCATAAGTGGGATAGGCTCAGCCACCCTTGCTGCACTGAGTACAAACCAGGGGGGGTCTGTTCTCTACCTATAGTTAGGCCAGGTTTTAGAAAGAAGTGAGAGGCCAAGGAAATTCATGGGGAAAGGAGTATACACATGCCTTCCCAGGTTAGGAAGAACCTGGCATAAAATGCATTTTATAAGGTGAGAACAGGCGCTAAGCATTTCTGGAGGCAATGTAGCTGCTGCTACAACTTATTAACCCCCCTACTACATGCACTTGTAAAGCAAAATTAAATCACACTGAAAATAGCAATTTCCCCAGGAATCATTAATCACCTCATACAATAAATACTTCTTTGTAATTCAACAGCAATTCTGAAAAGGCATTCTCTGGGAAAAGTCTTTGGAGGAGAGAGGGATGCTCTTGCAAATAATGCTTTCTCAGGCTAAGAGGCAGCATCTTGCTTGTCTGCATATATATACATATATACATACATGTATGTATATATATGCATGCCTAGGCTCTTAGTGGAAATTGAATGTCAAGCCGCAAACCTCAAATGGCAGATTTTCATAATTTAAGGTAAATTCTTATATTTCTTCTCAGTGGGGAAGGAAGGATGTGAGACATTCACTGGCTTCATTCTGGATCTTGGTAGGTAGGTAAAGGGGACGCCTTTCATTTGTCCATTCAGAAAAAGAAGTGAGAGATAGGATCCTTTTTTCTGCTGTTTTGGGATAAGATGTCATTTTTGTATTGAAGATTAAGGGATTGGTGTTTTGCAAAACCAAAATTATTGAAAATGCTACAAATGATTATGCCATTTCTTCATGGTGGGCATTCGATTTGTGATTCAGCCAGCCTTTAAGGGAGCTTGCTATAACAGCTTAGAAAACCTCACTGTGTGCTCTAAAATCCTTCATTGTCTGCCCTTTGCTAGGGCAACCATAGGAGTTCACTGAGAGGACAGATTTTCTATCTCATTAATTTTTTTTTTAAAGCAAACCTACTAGTCCTTCAAACCCTTGACCTTTAAAGACAGTATTTTGTGTAAGCTCCGTAGCTGTCTCACCTGGCACATGCTCCCCCCACTTTCCCCCTCTCTTCCTTCAATCCACACTCATCCACTTTAGTCACAGAGCCAAGTTGTGCATGACTCTGGAGAGAAAAGTTTTGTCAACATCTGAAATCAACCTAAATCGGGTAGGAGACACTTTAACGGTCACAGTTTGAATTAAGTACTTAACACTCTCCCCCTTGAAGAAAAATGGCAGTTTGCAGGCTTTCTTTGCTAGTTTGCTGAAATCTACGATATACCCGGTGTTTTATTACAGCAGGAATTCATCTGTGACAGGCATAGTGGAGTACTTAATACCCATGATGGAGCTCATGGGAAGATTACCCAGATATATGGGGTGGGCCCACGCACACTCTCTGTCTTTATGTCAGCAATCCCAGAGTGCCCTAGTCCCTCTACTTCGCCCCCTTCTCCTCACCTCTCCTGGACACCACTGTTCCCCTAAGCTTTCCAACTGTGCCCTGGTCCCCTGCTGGACTCCCTCTAGCAGTTCCAACATAGAAACAGATCAGCAACCCTTTAGAGAGACACCCCAGAGAATAAATGTAGCAAACGACAACCTTGGGCTTCTCATCCTCATGACTGGGCTCTGTACAAGCAACAGGCCTTCACTGTCATTCCCTTGATGTCTGCATTAATAGGTATAGTCCTGCAAGAAAGAACTCAGGCCTAACCCTTCCCAGCTGCTGCTCCTGGCATCCCTTTTCTGTATTATACACTGCATCAAGGGGGAAAATGCTTTGTATCTCAAAGAGGATGGTGTCTGCCTGGCAGTGGTGTTGCATGCCTTTAATCCCAGCACTGGGGAGGCAGAGGCAGGCAGATCTCTGAGTTTGAGGCCAGCCTGCTCTATGAAGTGAGTTCTCGGACAGCCAGGGCTATACAGAGAAACCCTGTCTTGAACAAAAGGATGGTATACAAAGCAGAGGAGGAGAAGAAATGGGCTAATACTGGGTGGTGGTGGTGGTGGTGGTGGTGGTGGTGTGATGAAACCTTCTAATCTGTAACTTCTGCCTTGGAACTCAGATGTCCCTATTGCTAATCTGAAGATGTCAAGTGTTCAAGATGAAAGAGAACTAGGGGCCATTTTGGTTCAGTTGTCTCAGTTTACAGATGAGGAAACTGAGGCTGCTGAATGACTCTCTTCAATTTCCTTATGCTAATGAGAATGTGGGTTGTAGAACCGTTGGCATCACTCTGGATGGGTATAAGTGCTTGGGCATCTTTCTGGGGCAGGATAAACAGAAACAGAGAACTGGAGATAGATATCTAGGCTTGTGCTGATGTGTAGGGCCACAGGTGTGTGTATAGCCTGGAAAAAGAACGTATGTATTATTAATGCTGCCCTGGGAGATTAGGTAACTCAACTGCCCTATCCTGTATCCTGTTCATTCCAACAGGTGGGTTGACCACTGAGTTCAGGTGAAGGACTTCTGGTCTCTACAGTGCTGGTAGCCCCAGAATGATTAATTCTGCAGAGCTCAACCTAGCATTTCCACGGCATTCCCTTTTAGGACAGAATGGTTGTGTTTTGGAGGCCCAGGGAACAAAAAAGCCAAGTATGGACCTTGGTTGCCACTGATCAAGGTGTAGCGCCTATTAGAGTAGAGGGAGATATTGAAATTGTGATTCTTGTGGTCACGTGACTCATTAAATAATTAATGCAGATCGTCAGGAATGGATCTGAGTCGTCAGGGCCTCACTAGGAATGAATCTCTCAGTAGTGAGACTCCAACTTCCTATTTGATTTTTAAGTACACATACCTTCAGAGCTATTTCCAAAGCCATTTAACTCCTTCAGGAAGGCAGACAAGAGCTTTTCAGCGTGGAGAACGGAGCTGTCCGGCGCTTACCAGGTCCAAGGCTTTCTTGTAAGATTGCTGCGAGTCCAGGGAGGCTCTGTGCCAAGAGAATTGTGAGTTTGGATTCAGGGTTTTTCCTTCTTTTCTTTCTTGCTTTTTTTTTTCTTTCTTTCTTGTGGTCATACCCTGGTTTTGGTGATGAAGTGGGACAGAAGCACAGACAGTTGGTAATGTTCTGATTCACGCTGGGGAAGGCTGCAGAGATACCACAGGAGGAGCACGCGGCTTTGTTCAATTTTTCCCCCGCGTTCATAAATCACTGGCGCTAGGCAAGTG